AATCCAATGCACAATAAAATTATTAGATGTGTACAAGGGGTGAAATGGTTTACAGAATCCACCATCTTTGTAGTCATGATTTTATGATTTGATTTTTTTTTTTTTTTTTTTTTTTTTTTTTTTGTAGTTCAGTATACGTTGACTGTTTAAAAAATGTATTGTCTTCTGTGTAGTCAGGTTAAAACTGAAAGAATGAGAGACTGAAATTTGACAGATTGTGACGGTCTGAGATTGAGTTCAAGATATTGTGGCAACAAAAGAGCAGACGAGGCTCGTTCCAAAAATGCTTTTCAATTATTTTGCAAAGACAATTGTCTTTACATTCCAAAGGTAAGTAGTTATTCACAGTTCTACAGGCCTGAGGATTTCACAAATGAACAGAAACTGTTTTTTGGTTCCGTTAGATTACCCAGTGGGAAACCACTGTACTAACTTTGGGTTCCGTAAGCGTTCATCACGGGAACCCATTTTTCTATAATGACTAATATTCATAATCAAGAATTCTGATTCTCAAAAGCATAATATTTGAAGGGTAAATGTTTGAAAACTATGCATTAACAATGAACATAATTACATCAGCAGCTGTGTACTCCAGGTTTATTCAATAGAATAAATGGATCAAAATATGTTATTTAACACTTTTATTGTACTCATATGGCATCATGAATACAAAAAAATGACCTTACTACTATATATAGACTTATAGTAATGAACTGTAATATTAGCCATTAGATCTAATGACCAACTTCAAGTACTTGCCTCGGAATCGTGCCTCCCGTCGTATTTCTCTTTCATGTTTGGTGCATACATCACACGTCATCTTGGTAATACGCCCTTCTTCGGATGATTCGAAAGAAAAGCCATATGTATCCGCCAGGGTGGAGACAAAAATAGCAACCCGCATGCGCACATCATGTTTCCTGTTCCGCCCCTCACCACTTAATAAAGCCAAAACCAAAAGTGGAATAGAAGAAAAACACTCACACACCACACCACAAACACATACAGACACAGTGAAATCACGTTGATCACACAGGAAAGATTCTATGGCGTACAGTCAACTAGTGCGCGGTGATTTTTATGGGAAATGATTTTTCGGTACCGTACAAATGATCCCAAGTAAACGGCACGCTACCGGAAACGATCGTCACTGTGAAATCCTCAGGCCTCTTCTAAAATGTAGTGGAATCTCATGCATGCTGGGTGCAAAAGGTGTATCGTATAAAAGAAAAAATGCCTCTTCAGACGGACCCTTGAATTAGTGTATGCTTCTCCGTACTACATCAGCATAACATCATCTTAAATCATATGTTGCCCACAAAGCCGAAACACCGCAGCTAACGATTATGTCAGGTTCAGTCAACCTAGAACATATAATAAACAACATACAAGGAAGGAAGACAAGAGGCTCTGATTCAATTTGCTTGCAAGGAGAACGGAGAAGTGTACTCAGTTACATCTCAAACCCGTTCTGAAGTACACCCCCCCGAGCCCTCTCTATTTATTGAGAATTGAAGGGGTCCCTAATTACATAAACGTCTAAGGAATGGGGAGTAGTTTCACATTTCACAACAGTTTCAAGGGAGGAGGCTTCCAATGAGAGCATACAGTTCATTCCTGAGATGTGGTCAAACGGCTCCTGCTGGGTGTCGGTGGTCCATGAACAAAGCTTGGATGTCCCTCTCGTGGTGTCCTTGGTTGATGTTATCTTCTCACAAGCAGCAGTCACTTTGATCAGAAGCCGTTAACTTAACAAAAGGATGTTATCTTAGAAACCAGAACAGGAGCGGGCTGGGCACTCCTGGTCCAACAAGTCTCCCCCTGTCAACCTACCCCATTGTAAATGAGGTATTTGCGAGGTTTCACTCTGAAACAAACTTAAAGGTACACTGAGAGTAAATATGGGATAACAAAATTACATTTATTCCAACAGATTACATTTACATACATTCAGTATTCAAGTTTAGGTCAAAATCCAGTTTCTGAAACATTCAGGATAAATCGTTGACATGCGTGAGCGGACAGTTATTCCCATCTGTATGGCAACTGATCAGTTGGAATATCCCATTCTAAACAGGCAACGCACAAATGATGCAAACAGACGTCATTTCCACTTGTTACTTTTCTACCGTCAATAAAACATAATTATATTCATGTCACTCACCACTGGAATAGAGCTCTCGTTTTCCTCCTCGCTTCAGATGTACGCTTGTGTGCTGCGTCTGAGTTACTGAACCATGTTTGTTAACCTTTGCTTGTGTATTTCCGGTGAGTCGACACAAACCAATGTCCCTTTCACTGGAGGTATTCCAGTCGTGTTTATATGACCAAGTATACATGTTTGAAGAGGGGTAACCCGAGGTCTTATTCAGATTTTTTCGGATTGCGTATTTATTTGGCCTCAGTCCCTATCCCCACTGATATTACAAATAAAGGCCTCCTCTTTAATAAACATCCTGCTCCTATAATATATACTTTCATGTACTCTCTCTCTTTCTCTCTACTCCAGAACAACCACCCTCACGGGCAGCCATACACCGGCCCCGCCGCGCAGCACATGAACAATCCTCAGCGCCCCGGTCTGGCCTCGGCACAGACCCCAGGCCCCACACAGGCCCCAACTCCGGCCCCGGCCGGCGTCCCAGGCCCCGGCGGCCCCCCTCCCGGCCCGAAATCACAAGAGAACTGGGAGAGCACGGAGGAAATGGCCCCGGCCCCTGCCTCCACCCCGGCTCCCGCCCTGCCTAAGGAGTAACACCGCCTTCCCCCGAAGCCCCCTTTACCGCCTCCTCCCTTGCTCTGCTGTGCCTGGAGCCTCTATCAACCCGCTCTCCTTACTCCTCCTCTGCTCTCTTTGGTTCTTAGAGCATGGCCAGCGGGGGACACTGTAGGAGAGCGGAGGGAGTGGATTTGAGAGTTCTAAATAAATGGAAAAAAAACAAAACAAAAAAAAAAAAAACAATTAACCCAGAACTGGGGATGATGATGAAAGGTGTACATAATGTTCATGTTCGTGACTGTTGGGATCGCCCAGTAGCATCACTCGCTGTGCTTCGCTGTTGGGAAAGAGGTTGCAGATCATACTGATGACATAAATGGACCTTATATGGGAAAAAAAAAAATCCCCCATCCAAAAACAAAAGACTTTGTTTTCATCGCCCATTTTTCGCAGTAAGAGTTTGTTCCAGTAATGGGATGGTTTAACGGTCATTCAACTGTAGAAGAAGAAGATGCCGAAGAAAGATGCGTTTGTTATTCTCACCAAGATGATGATGTTATTCATTAGCTCCCCAGGTGTCAAGTTTGTTTGACATGGAAAGGCAGTTAATGCACCATTTGGTAAGAGAAACCATTGCCTTTTTTTTGTTTTGTTCTTTTTTTTTTTTTTTTTTTCGTGAAGCTCAGTCAGTCAGTATGCTGTAACATTTAGCATGGCTTCTCACCAGAATAATGTAGCCCGAAGGAAGACGTTCATAACAACCTAAAGCTGTTCTTGCTCCACACCTCCACAGGGGTTGTGTTACTCTTTGGGGTTTTTTGTTGTTTTCTACTCATCTACAATGAGGGCAATATTTTTGAACCAATGTACGACTAAGTGGCTTTTGAATTGCACATATAATCCTTCATATTTGGCAGTGGATTTTTGCCAGTGGGATAGACAGTTTAAATGAAATAAAATTTGAAAGGAAAGATCCTGCTCCGGCCCCAGAAAAAAAACAAACATATGCAACAGAATCGCTGCTCCAGCGGACATCTTTGTGGTGTATCATAGACGGTGTGGTTTAGCTTCCATCTCTTCTGTGGAGCCCCCATCCCCATGCCCCCCTTTTTAGACGAAACCTGCTTCCCGTTGGGGTTCACAGACCAGTCGCTCACCATCTCACTCGGTGGACATAGGGGACGCCATGGGAGGAGGTGCTTAAGAATAGCAGCTGGTTAGTCACATTGCAACTAACTTGTGATTCTGTAGTTAAAAGGTAAACATCAGTAAATACTGTATTTAATTGGTAACTTGAACATGTGTTTTTTTTTTTGTCTAAAACATACCAAATACTCCTGCAAATGAAAATATTCTGCCCACCGTATTATATTTAAATATTTTGCTCTTATTTTATAGAATTTATTTTGTTGTATTTCACTAAAAAATAGAATTTGATTTAAAAGGAACATTTTTGTCCTTTTGTTATTTTTAAAGAAGATATTGACTGTACAGAGTTCTAATCTGCGCCCTGTTTTTTGCCGACTTTTGTTTTGGCCATGGTGTGACGTTGAATTCTGGAGCTACAGTCGCGATGTGGACTTTCACTTTGTGAGGTTTTTTTGTGCACAGAAATATAACAAAAAAAAGCATTGCGCCCTTAGCAAATAAAGAACATTGAATCTTTGTCTGCGTCATGTTTACTCCTTGAACCTAAAAAGAGGTGGAATATATTTTGACATCTTAAACATTGTGAACTTCAATTCCATATTAATAGTAAAATTAACATTAATGTGTTTGGGAATGGTGTTATTTTAAACCAGAGCTAGTTCTTAATTACAGAATTCATGATTTAATTAGGTATTTTTTAAATGAAATAATTGCTAAATGTATTGTGTGTGTGTGTATATATATATATATCTATATATA